AGGAGCCTCTTTTGTCCCAATGAAGCAATGGTTGATGGGCCTCTCGATAGTTTCAGGACAGAGGCTTGTTGTCAGAAAGACCAAGGCACAATTAGAAAGTTGGAACTTTCAGTCCCAAAACCTGCTGATTTCCAGGGAGGGGAGAGGGGTTTCAGTTTGAGTTCAGTCACTCATGGTCAATGACTTCATCCAGCAAGCCTCCTTAATGAAACTTCCACAAAGCCTCTAAAGGATGGGGTTGAGAGGCTCCAGGTTGGGGGACACATCTAACTGCTGGGAAGGTGGCACATTCAAAGGGTATGGAAGCACCAAGCCCTACACTCATACCCTGCTTTATGAATCCATCTCATTTGAATGTTCCTGAGTTGTATCCTGTATAGTGTCCTGTAATATTAAGTAAACTGTTTTCCTGAGTTCCGTGAGTTGTTCTGGCAAATTATTGAGCCAAGAAAGGGGTTGTGGGAACTTCTAATTTATAGCTGGTCTGTCAGAATTACAGCAGGCCCAGGACTTGTGATTGGAGTCTAAAGTGGAGGCAGTCTTGTGGGGCTGAGCCCTTAATCTGCAGGGTCTCAGGCTAACTCTGGGTAGTTAGTGTCAAAAATGAACCGAATCGCTGGACATCCTGGCGGTGTTGGAGAGCTGGCGAAGTGGTGTGAGAACCCCCTCCCTGCTCCACACACACACATTTGGTGTCAGCAGTGTTAGGAGTAAACAGTTAAAAAGCTCAAATCCAATGCCCTTACAATTGGCCATGTTAAACTGTGCTAGGGGCAGGGACCTGGCAGAGAAGAATTACTGAGTGGGCTGAGGGGCAAGGACCATGGCAGAGAAAAATTACTAATTATCTTAGAAAAACAATGTGTTATGACCCAGCCAGATGTGACCCTGCTTTGCCCCCATTTGTACTTGTAAACTTTATGTGAACCTTTTACCCTGCCCGTACCAGGAACCGCTAATGAACCACTTTGCAGTTTTGTTTGTTTTTTTTTTAAATACTTTGTAGTTTTTGCAGATAAAAAGCTTTGCTGTACCCTCGGTTGGGGCTGCAGTATGAGGCTCCCTGTGAGGAGGGACGTGTTGTAGTCAGCTGGCCAGCTTAATAAAGGCTCTTAAATTTAAATTCTGAGTCGGTGGTCTATCTTGCTGAGTGAACCCATAACAAAATAGACCTCAGGGACTCTGCCATTTGCTATTAAATTTATGAACACCCACAAAGTCCCATTAAAGAAGGTATTAAGGAATTATGACCTTTTTTGCTGTTGTTGTTAATCCTCACCCGACGATATTATTCCATTGATTTTTAGAGAGTGGAAGGGAGGGGGAGAGACACAGAGAGAGAAACATCGATGCGAGAGAGACACATATTGTATTAGACTACTGACATCTAAAAGTGGTCCCTTGAAGGGAACCTCTGTCTGTAGGTGGGCCAATAATACAGGAAAATACTCCAGAAAAATAAAACAATAGTCTATGATTTTATTTAATTACTAAGATATTCCAAGAGACTTCCTGAATCCCCACTGATTTCTTCTGGCTCCTTCTGCTGGCTGAATTAACATTATCTGGCCCCACATTACCTTTCAGGAAGCTATCATAATTGCTTTGCAAATGTGGTCTCTTTCAAATACAAGTTTATTTATAAGAAAACCCGGATGCATGGCCAGTGTAGCTCAGTGGCTGAGCATTGACCTATGAACCAGAAGCTCATGGTAGGGGCACATGCCCGGGTTGAGGGCTCAATCCCCAGTGCATGCAGGAGGCAGCCAATCAATGATTCTCTCTCATCACCGATGTTTCTATCTTGCTGTCCCTCACCCTTCCTCTCTGAAATCAATAAAAATATATTAAAAAACAAACAAACCTGGAGGTTTCCATGCTAGCCTAAATGTCAGAGGTGAAGACCACAGGAAAGAAACCTGGGTGTTTGATTTAATGCCAGGATCATCCGGCCTGTATCCACTGCCTCCCCTTCACAACCCTCGGAAGGTTCATCCACCACCTGATAAGTGCTTGTCCCCTCCCATCACCCTTGTTGAACTTCTCTATAAAATGCCTGCACACTGACCACTCTCTCTGTCCTGGACCTTCTTCTGGACAGCCATCCCCTCCCACCTGTGATCCCACCAAATCTAACCCTTGGGGGCTAGAGGGGGGCGGGGTCTTCACACCACAGTGGATATGCATATCAATTATCAGGGAAAAAAATAAAACTTCTTATAGATGACATAATTGTCTATACAGAAAGACCCAATAAATCTACACAACCGTTACTTTAACTAATACGCAAGTTTGGCAAGAATGTAGGATACAAGGTCAACATAAAACAGTCCATGGTATTTCCATATACTACTAATGAACAATTGGAAATTAAAATTTGAAAAGTAAGTACTGTTTAATTTGACACCAGAAAACATGGAGAACATAAGTATAAATCTAATAAACTATGTGTGGGATCTATATGCTGAAAATTACAAGTTACTGATGAAAGAACTTAAAAGAGTCTTAAACAACCAGGTAGATATAGTGTGTCTATGATTTAGAAAATTCAATAATGCTAAGATGTCAAATTCAGTTCAATCCCAATATAATCCCAAGGGAGGGTTTATTTTTAAAAATCAAGAAGCCAATTCTAAATACTACTGAAAAGTGAACAAATAACACTAGCCCCAATAATTTTGAAAAAAAATGTAGTTGGCAGACTCATACTCTCTGGTTTTTAAGACATTGTATTAAACTACATATGGCAAAATGATAGACAGATAGACCAATGGAACCAGAGGCCAGAAAGACCCACACATGTACGGTCAATGGATTTTTCACCAAGGTGCAACAGCAATTCGGTGTTAAAAGACTTACTTTTATGTTCATATGCAAAAAAGTGGACCCTGGACTCTGACCTCACACTTTGTAAAGATGAATTCACATGGATCATAGCCTGAAATGTAAAACCTGAAACCATAACATTTTTATTTTTTAAAAAGTTATTTATTTTTCCCTTAAAAGAGGAAGGGAGAGGGAGAGAAAGAGAGAGAGACATCAATGTGAGAGAGAAGCATTGGTCAGTTGTCTCTGGCATGCACCCCGACTGGGGACCAAACAACCAGGGACCAAACGTACAACCTGGGCATGTGCCCTGACTGGGAACAGAACCAGTGGCCTCTAACTGCACTGGATGACACTCAGCCAACTGAGACACACCAGGCAGGGCTGAAACCATTAAATGTTTAGATTTTAAAAAGGAGATAAACTTCTGTGTTATTAACCAATGCCACCCCAATGAATTTAATTTTTTAAAAAAATATATTTTATTGATAGTTTATAGAGAGGAAGGGAGATAGTCAGAAACATCGATGAGAGAGAAACTTCGATCAGCTGCCTCCTGCACATCTCCTACTGGGGATGTGCCCGCAACCCAAGTACATGCCCTTGACCGGAATCGAACCTGGGACCTTTCAGTCCGCAGGCCGACACTCTATCCACTGAGCCAAACCGGTTTTGGCATGAATTTAATTTTTTTAAAAGGAGAAAAAAATCTTTGTAAACTTGGATTAGGCAGGGTTCTTAGATCTGAAACCAAAAGTGCAACCAATGGAAGAAAAAAATTAAACTTTATAAAAAAATTTTTTAACTCCATCTGTGAAAAATAGTTAAAAATACAAATTGCACAGATGGATAAAAATATTTGCAAACACATGGGTGATAAAGAACATGTGTCCAGAACATACAAAAAAACTCTCAAAAATCAAGAACAAGAAAATAATTCACAAAAGAAAATAGGGTATATGGGAAATCAAGGACAAGTAAAGAAGCCCTGGCTGGTTGCTCAGTAGTTAGAGTGTCAGCCCTTGGACCAAAGGGTCATAGGTTCAATTCCCGGTCAAGGGCACATACCTGGGTTGCAGGTTCAATCCACGTGCCATGGAAGAGGCAGCTGATCCATGTGTCTCTCTCACATAGATGTTTCTCTCTCTCCCTCTGGATGATACCGTTTTGTCTTTTAATTGTAGTTTTGATGTGGTTGTGCGAGGCAGCAAGTACAGGTGATTACCTACGCCGCCATCTTGGTTCCTCCCTAAACTTAAGATTTTTACTTCAAATTATAATATGCATGCAAATTTCAATTGTTAGCATACAAAAGTGCTGCTCATAACAGCTGAATAGGTTTCTGGACTTACTAATAGTTTGCAACCCTCAGTTTGATAAACACTAGTTCACAGGACCTGCAGGTTTGTAAATGTGCCCGTGTGTCTAATTTAAATTGTGCTCCAAGCCTTGCAGAATTCCTCTTTTAAGTATAAGCTTATATAAATATTTAGAGATGAACTGAACAGAAATTTCAAATATGGCTGTTCTCTCTTTTATGCATTAACAATTACTGGCCCTGGCTGGTGTGTCTCAGTGATTTGAGCGCCAGCCTTTGAACGGAACGGTCTCAGGTTTGATTTCTGGTCAAAGGCACATACCTGAATTAAAGGTTCCACGTGTGGGAGGCAACCAATTGACATGTCTCTCTCACATCAATCTCTCTCTCTTTCTTTTCCTTACACTCTCTCTAGAAAGTCAATGGGAAAAATATAGTGAACACCCACTATGTGTTAAGCACTGAAAAGGCAGCGTAGATTTGGCAGTCAACAAAGCTGTTACCCTCTTCACACTTACATTCTAGGGCAAGGGTGGGGAACCTATTTTCTGCCAAGGGCCATTTGGATATTTATAATACCATTCATGGGCCATATAAATTATCAATTTAAAAATCAGCCTGCTATTTCTGGTCAAACTGGGCCAGACCAAAAGATTTTGTGGGCCTTATCCAGCCCACATGCCGGGTGTTCCCCACCCATGATAGGGGAGTTTCTAGCATTTCATCTTAGTGTTGTTGGTTAACTTCAGATCAGACCCATCCTTTCTAAGCTTCTCTTCTTTTTAATATTTACTAACTGTCAAGGTTCTGCGTAAAGTCCTTATGTCTCCACTATCACAAGGCTTCTCTGATGTGGTCACCCAACCATTGTGACATGTTGAGCTCTGGCTGAAGTACTCGCTCTTTCAAACGCATGTTTTGCTTTGCTCCTACTAAAGACCTTCCCACACTTTTCACATTTATATGGTTTCTCTCCAGTATGGACCTTCTGATGGAGATGAAGCTGTGACCTTACACTGAAGCCCTTCCCACACTCTGCACACTGATACGGTTTCTCTCCCGTGTGGACTCTTTGATGATGCACATGAAGACTTGAAGACTGACTGAAGGCCTTCCCACACTCCTCACATTTATAGGGTTTCTCTCCTGTGTGGATTCTACAGTGAACCTTCAGTTCTGAACTCCGACTGAAGCCCTTCCCACATGTACCACATTTGTATGGTTTTTCTCCAGTGTGGCCTCTTTGATGGGACAGAAGATTTGAGGGCTGACTGAAGCCCTTCCCACACTCCTCACATTTATAGGGTTTCTCTCCTGTGTGGATTCTACAGTGAGCCTTCAGTTCTGACCTCCGACTGAAGCCTTTCCCACAGGCATCACATGGATAGGGTTTCTCACCAGTGTGGCCTTTTTGATGGTCCAGAAGATTTGAGGCCTGACCGAAGCCCTTCCCACACCTCTCACATTTGTACGGTTTCTCTCCGGTGTGGACTCTCTGATGGACTTGAAGGTGTGAGCCTGCACTGAAGCCTTTCCCACACTCCTCACATTTATAGGGTTTCTCTCCTGTGTGGATTCTACAATGAATGTTAAGGTGTGAGCTATGCTTAAAAGCCTTGCCACATGCATCGCATTTGTATGGCTTCTCACCTGTGTGCATTCGTTGGTGAGCCTGCAGTCGTGAATGCCAACGGAAGCCCTTCCCACACTTTTCGCATTTGTAAGGTTTCTCTCCCATGTGAACTCTCTGATGGACTTGAAGATGTGCACTCTGACTGAAGCCCACCCCACACTCCTCACATTTATAGGGTTTCTCTGATGTGTGGGTTATCAGAGAAGTTAGACAATGTGAGCTTTGCTTAACATGTCTTCCGCACTCCTCAAATTTGTGTGGATTTTCTCCTGTAAGAACTCTCTGATGATGAGGAAGATATGACCTCTGACTAAAATTCTTACATGATGTATCATATTTGTACGATTTCCCTCTACTGAGGACTCTCTGATGGGCTTGAAGACTTGAAACCCGGTGGAAGGCATTTTCACATTTTTCACATTTACAGGGCTTCTCTCCTGCATGGGCCGTCTTATTAATTTGAGGACAAGAGTCCTGAATAATACCTTTCTCGCACATCTCTCCTTTGTGGCGTTTTTCTCCATTATGGACTCTGCGGTGAACCTGAAGATGCGAACGCTGATTAAAGCCCTTACCGAATTCCTCGTATTTATAGTGCGCATCACCTTGTTTTTCCAACAGAGAGCCAGTTCCTTGAATGTTTACTGTGGAATCTTGACATCTGGTTAAACCCTTGGTAACCTGTTGCCAGATTTGTGAGTAGAAAAACTCTTCGTGGGGCAGGTCCCTTAATCCAATTTCTTGAATGACCTCCATGTTACGTAGACTCTTGTCTCCTAAAAGAATAAAGAGAATTTGGAGATGGGCATGTGGATGCTTTTGTTCAGAAATGTCAAGGTTATACATAAACGTAGGCCAACCCCCTGAGGCTTTATGGAACCAGGAGAAAGCTCCGTTTTTATTATCATGTATCATGTAGATTTACATGACTCTGGGAACCAAGAGATGGTCCACCAGGCTCCCATTCACTGCTCACTAACAAGACACATGTAGGCATTGGACTAGGTTTCAAAAGTGAGCCACAAGTTAGAAATGTGGTGGCTGCAGAGCAAGAAAAATACTTCCTCGACAACTCAACCACCCCAGCAACCTACAGCTTCTAGTCTGCAGCAGCCAGGGGAGCAGGGCTCTGAACAAACCCTGCGGGTCCAGAGCAGGCCGTATCTGCTCGGCATGCTGCTGTTATCAACCTCGCTGGAGTGGGAAGCTTTATGCAGTCCGGGGCAGCTGCAGTGGTGGTCCCTGCGGCATCACACGGATATGGGCAGCGGTGGCAGCACCAACAGCTCAGCTACATCATCAACTGGCACATAGGCAGCCAATCAAAAAGTAAAAAGAAGGGACGCACACCAACCATCCCAAAATTCTGGGTCTTGCATTATTTCCCCCCCTCTTTTTTAAAAAATATATTTTATTGATTTTTTACAGAGAGGAGAGGGATAGAGAGTTAGAAACATCAATGAGAGAGACACATCGATCAGTTGCCTCTTGCACGCCCCCTACTGGGGATGTGCCCGCAACCAAGGTACATGCCCTTGACCGGAATCGAAACTGGGACCCTTGAGTCCGCAGGCTTACGCTCTATCCACTGAGCCAAACCGGTTAGGGCTCCCCCCGCCCTCTTTTTATGAAACATAAAAGAGCTGAATCAAAAGGATTCTGAGTTTCTACTTCACTTCTGTTTTTTAAAAGGTGTCCGTATTTTACACGGCTAGCTGTACAAACTTTACACAAAAGCAGAAAGAGCCCTATGACTTTTAGCTAAAAACGGGGAAATACTTTAATGAACCATTAGGGTTGGCTGCTTAAGTCACTACCCCCCTTTTTATGAAACATAAAAGAGCTGAATCAAAAGGATTCTGAGTTTCTACTTCACTTCTGTTTTTTAAAAGGTGTCCGTATTTTACACGGCTAGCTGTACAAACTTTACACAAAAGCAGAAAGAGCCCTATGACTTTTAGCTAAAAACGGGGAAATACTTTAATGAACCATTAGGGTTGGCTGCTTAAGTCACTGCTTTTGCAAAATGGTTTCACTGTGCATGACACATATGGCAGAGGCCTCAGAAACACTAGTCACATCTTTGAGAAGAATGTAGTTTGCTATTTATTTAGTATAAAAGGTTTATACGGAGCACAACAAACACCGTTTTTTACAAATCTGTTTTGGAAAAAAGAAAAATACTTTGATGATGAAGCTGCACCTTACTAAAAGCCTTCTCTTCTGCCTACTGTATGCACATCCGACCAAATGCTCAGGTCTAGGGAAACCCATCCAGAGGATGTCCCCAGGCCACGTTGAAAGCCTTTGCTTTGAATTATTTTATTAGAAGTTTACTCCAACGTTCAGAGCCTTTGAGACACTGAGCGGGTTGGAAAGACATGTTTGGGAGAAAAATCCTTATACATCCACGTGTCTGAAGTTCAGAGTGTAAGCAGAGTGTCCTTCATCTCCTGCTGGGAAATATCCTTCAGGAGGACATCGGGGGTGGGGTGGGTAAAGGTTTACAGTAAAAATAAACATCACTCTCTCGCCCGGGCCAGTGTTGCTCAGTGATTAGAGCAGCATCCCATGCATAAAGGGACTCAGGTTCAATTCTGGGTGAGGGCACATACCCAGGTCGCAGGTCCCATCCCTGGTTGGGGCACATACGGGAAGCAACCAAGTGATGTTTCTCGCGTGGATGTTTCTCTCTCTCTCCCTTTCCCTTCCTCTCTCTCTAGATCTAGGATCATCAAGGATAAAAGTGACCATGGGGCCTATGGACTGGTGGCTTTCTTTGGTTTTTGTACATATTTCCTTTCTGTGTGTGCAAAATATTTCCTTTTTGAAGTAGGAGTCAATATTTAGAGCCCCAGGAATAATGTTTGTGAAAGTAGACTCTCAAAATGATGAGTAGAGATACATTTTCCATATGGACCACACCAATGGTTTTGAAGCTGAAGGCAGGAGGTAGTGAACTTGAAAGGAATTTAGTAGCTTTTGATGAAAATTAACAAAATAGGAAAATATCAGAGGTGCTTTGTAAGCAGTAAAGGCATCTCTGTATAAAATGGCTATTAAGAATCTTCATTCGAAAAAGCAGTCCTTAACCAAGACAGTATGATTCACTACTAAAGGCTGCAGGAAAACCACAGGGGGAAAATGATAATCAAGTTGGTTACAAACGAAAAGCTAAGCTTTTCTATCTATACTCAAAAGCACCTAATAAAATTAGACACCTGTCAAGGGGAAAAACTGTTCTAGACTACCTTCATCACAGTTGTTTTTTTTAAAACCCTCACCCGAGGATATGTTTTTGTTTAATTTTTTTAGGGAGAGGGGGAGAGAAAGAGAAAAACGTCAATGTGAAAGAGAAACATTGATTAGTTGCCTCCTGTGGTTCGAACCCACAACCGGGTATGTTCCCTGGCCGGGGATTGAGCCCATGACCCTTCGGTGCATGGGATGACATTCCAACCATAAGCCACACCGGCCAGGGCACACTTTTTTTTAAAAAATGTATTTTATTGATTTTTTCACAGAGAGGAAGAGAGAGGGATAGAGAGCTAGAAACATCGATGAGAGAGACACATCGATCAGCTGCCTCCTGCACACCCCCTACTGGGGATGAGCCCGTAACCAAGGTACATGCCCTTGACTGGAATCGAACCCAGGACCCTTCAGTCCGCAGGCCGATGCTCTATCCACTGAGCCAAACCAGTTAGGGCTGGGCACACATTTTTTATTACCACACTTTAAGGATCTCAGAGGTGAATGGAAAATGGTCTATGTAACCATCATTAACTCATTCATATATCTGATATATTTGATAAATATTTATAGCACACCTGCCTTCTTCTAACTCTGCTCTCTATAGCGAGGATAAAGCAATAAAGAAAACAGAATTTCTCTGCTCCTGAGACTGTATTCCAATGGACTATAGCACGATAAATAAAAATATATGTTAATAAGGTAAGTGCTTAGACACCAACCAAGACAGGGTAGGGGAAGGGAGTGGAGGCAGAAGGTATTATGCACAGAGGGGTCATGGAGGCCTCTCTTATGAGGTTAACATTTGGGGAAAGCCCTATGTGAGGTAAGGGAGGGGCTGGGAGAATGACGAGGGAAACAGTGCTCCTGACAGAAAGAACAAGGAGAGGGTGACGAGGCGGGAGCACGCTTGGCACAGCAAAGGGCCCAAACCGGACGGAGCAGGTGACAAAGGGGACAGTGACAGGTCACGTTTATAGAGGGATGGCAAGGGGGTGGACGGGGGGGCGGGGGGGCAGAGCCATGTGGGGCACTATAAGCCACTTTAAGTACCTGGATTTTACTTTGAATCAGATAAGAAGCTAGTAGAGATTTTGAGCAGAGGACCGACAAGATCTGACAAACACTCATAAAATCACTTGGAGTAGAGAATTCATTGTAAAAGAGCAAAACCGGAGAGTGAGAGCCATACAGACTGCTGCAGCGATCCACAGACGAGGCCCTGACTCAGACCAGCACCACGGTGGTGGAGGTGACAGGTGGCTCAGACCAGCGTCTCACTGGTGGAGGTGACAAGAAGCAGGACAGCCCTAGGCGGTTTGGCTCAGTGGATAGAACCATCGGCCTGCGGACTGAAGGGGCCCAAATTCAATTCCGGTCAAGAGCACAGGCCCGGGATGTGGGCTCGATCCCCAGTAGGGGGCGTGCAGGAGGCAGCCAATCAATGATTCTCTCTCATCATTGATGTTTGATGTGTCTATCTCTCTCACTCTCCCTTCCTCTCTGAAATGAATAAAAATATATTTTTAAAATAGAAGCAGGGCAGAGATTAAACCCAGGCTGTTTCCAGTTGGTGTGGTGTGACTCATAGCTTGAATTTACCTACGAATGTTAATTTGGCTCCTTGGGAGTGTGAGTGTTTTCTCACCTTTAAAAACATAATCCTGCCCCCAATACAAACGTATTCTGTCCTTAAAAAAAAAAAATAGAAGCAGGACAGGCTGAGTCCCATGGCTCTCACCTGAGGAGCTGTGGCTCTGGGTCACTGTCCTCATCATGCAAAGCTTTTCTTCTCTCTCTAATTGGGGGCTAACATTTGGGGAAAGCCCTATATGAGGTAAGGGAGGGGCTGGGAGAATGACACCTGCTGTGAAGGACAGATGCCCTGTGAAAAGGCAAGGGACAAACATTTACAATTAATACATTAACGGCCAAAATTAGTAAAAAATGTGACTTCTCACTGTATCACCTTCAGATCGTCAAAATTCATGTTTTCCAAACTGTTAATTATGGCCTGCCAGAGAAAACGCATTTTATGCAAAAAGCCCAGGACATACAGACGTTAAGTATAAACTATTGAGGGGAAAATGTTAATTTTTGAATATACTAAAAACTGCTGCCCTGGCCGGTTTGGCTCAGTGGATAGAGCGTCGGCCTGCGGACTCAGGGGTCTCAGGTTCGATTCCGGTCAAGGGCATGTGCCTTGGTTGCGGGCACATCCCCAGTGGGGAGTGTGCAGGAGGCAGCTGATCAATGTTTCTCTCTCATCGATGTTTCTGGCTCTCTATCCCTCTCCCTTCCTCTCTGTGGAAAATCAATAAAATATATTAAAAATAAATAAAAAAATTAAAAACTGCTGAACTATATACTGTAAATGGGTGAACTGTATGATACGTAGGGTATGTGTATGTAAACTACATCTCTATAAAACAGCTAAAATGTAAAAAAAAGTCTACCTTCATCACACCCCCTCCACCATTCCTCACCCCATTCGGCACAGGCCGCAGATTCCACTGCCGTGTGCAGTGACTGCCAGGGGCTCTGCTATTTTCTACCCCATTTTATTTCACTAAAAAGTGCTGGTTCAGCCCTAGCCAGTCTGGCTCAGTGGATAGAGCGTCGGCCCTGGGACTGAACGATTCCGGATAAGGGCACGCACTTCAGTTGCTGGAGGGATCCCCAGCCCTGGTCTGGGCGAGTGTGGGAGGCAATCAATCGAAGTCTCTCTCTCACATCGATGTTTCTCTCTCTCTGTCTCTCCCCTCACTTCTACTCCCTCTAAAAATCAATGGAAAAATATCCTCGGGTTAACAAAAGTGCTGGTTCAATTTCCTAGATGGGTGTCAAGACCCACTAACTGGACATGATTACAACTTGAGAAAGGCCAGGAACGTGTTAACAGGCACACTGCCAATTTATAGTTAACTTACAAAACACACTTTAGCTGGGGGAGGAAGACCAGAAAGATGCCATTGCTGTGTCTCACGCTGCTTAGAAAACTGGCACCTTAGCCAGTTTGGCTCAGTGAATAGAGCATTGGCCTGCGGACTGAAGGGTCCCGGGTTCGATTCTGGTCAAGGGCACATGCCCACGTTGCAGGCTCGATGTCCAGTGGGGGACATGCAGGGGGCAGCCGATCAATGATTCTCTCTCAGCACTGATGTTTCTATCTCTCTCTCACTCTCCCTTCCTTTCTGAAATCAATACAAATATATTTTTTAAAAACACTTTTAAAAAAGAAAAGAAAACTGACAACCAGCTACAGAGTTCCGAAGCCCCACACATCAAAGGACACAAACAGCGCAGGGGGCTCGAGTTCAGTCACAGAGCGCCTGCCTCACCCACTGAGACCAGGTTCCGGAAGTTCTCCAGCATCACGTCTCGGTACAGCTTCCTCTGGGACGGGTCCAGCAGCGCCAGCTCCTCCTCCGTGAAGACCACAGCCACGTCCTGGAACGTCACCGCCTCCTACAACACCGCACACAGATGACCTCAGTCCCATAACCAGGCTCACGGGAGAGGGGCAGCATTGAAAGCAGCTCTGTGTATTTTACAGCAATTCAGTGGAGAAGTCTGTCCCAGGGGCATGTAAATCTGAAGTACAAGAAACCATATGTGTCTTTACCCCTCCCACTGCCCCCCCACACCCCCACATACTCATTTTTGAACTTTCAGGGGGGCCAGGGCTTGGGGGCATGGAGTTCAGGGTTTCCAGCGAGCAGGGAAGGGCTTCGTGGTTGGTCCACAATTCAGCCAGGGTCTTCCGGGCCGCGGGTCAGCTCCACCTCGGGCCCCCACCCTGCACCCCACTGGTTGAGTCTTGTCGGTGCCTTGACCAGGAATCAAACCCACAACCTTGGCATATCAGGACGATGCTCTAACCAACTGAACTGCCTGGTCGGGGCCAACAAATGTTGAAATCATTGGCAATCTGATCAGTAAAATACAATTTATTTTGGTTATTGGCATTATATGATAATAAGTGCATCATATTCTTATATATTTACTGGTCATCTTTACTTTTTCTTTAGTACCTTTGCTCAGACTCTGATTGGGATTTTTTCTCTTATGACTGTAAAATTTCTACTGGAGATTTTAAGTTTTGTTTCTTTATCGTATGGCTTATAAATATTGCCACCCACATTGTACTATTAGTCCGGTACAGCTTTGAGTACAGCGTGATTTTTCATCCTTGACTCTACTGACGTATTTGGCCAGGTAACTCTTCATGGTGGGGCTGCGTTGTAGGATGGTTAGCAGAATCCTTACCTTCTACACGCGAGATACCAGGAGCCGCCTCAAGTTATGACACCAAAATGTGTCCAGGTGTCCACTGGAGGCAACATTGCCCCTGATTAAGAATCACTGGTACACAGTTTTGTCTTAACTTTTTATATGGAAACTGTGTTCGTCACTGGACTGCAGTACATGCAGGTGCAACAGAAATCATAAAGAAGATGGGGCCACTGAAGAGAGAGCAGGGAGAGGCAGTATTTGAGGTGTTTTCTTTTTTCTAAAATATATTTTATTGATTTTTTACAGAGAGGAGGGGAGCGGGATAGAGAGTTAGAAACATCAAAGAGAGAGAAACATCGATCAGCTGCCTCCTGCACACCCCCTACTGGGGATGTGCCCGCAACCAAGGTACATGCCCTTGACCAGAATCGAACCTGGGACCCTTCAGTCCTCAGGCCGACGCTCTATCCACTGAGCCAAACCAGTTAGGGCTATTTGAGGTGTTTTCTACCCACCAGCATAACCAGGCACCACACACAAAGGGCTAAGTCTCTGACTGGGGAATTCTTTTCCCTTGTCTCTCTGTCTTTTACTTGTCTCCAAGTAAAACTTAGGAGTCTTTTTGCATCAGTTGGATGAGTCCTGGCCAGGTGGCTCAGTGGGTTATAGTGTCATCCCATACACCAAAAGGCTGAGGGTTCGATTTTCAGTCAGGGCACATACCTAGGTTGCGGTTTCAATCCCCGGTCAGGGCATGTATGGAGGCAACCCATCGACGTTCCTCTCTCACATCAATGTTTCTCTCTCTCTCTCTAGTAGAAAATAACCTACACTAAAATAAACAGTAGTAATCATCTGACAATACAAGGGCCCTGAATGCCTACTGTTCTCTTTAATCCTTCCGAGAAAAAGAAACAGGATGTGTCTAGTCATTGAGAAATGAGATGACAATTTAAAACCTAGACAGGCAAGCCCAACCCACCTTGAACTTGGCCATTTTGTCCTCCTCCTTCTCGGGAAGGGCTGAGTCTTGGGAAGGCACAAGGGGGAAGAAGGAAAAAAAGCATTAGATTCTGGCCGAGGGTGTCACTAACCCCTATGACTGCGTTATGTGAACCCCTCACCCACCCTGTGAACACACACCCACTGAGCCTGGTGCCCTGATGAGCAGAATGCAGACTGCCTTCCAGACACCTTCAGCCAAGAGCTCCCGCACAGTGAGCCACCTGCCCAACCACACACAGTGGCCCTAATGCAAGTTCATGCAGCCCTCAGGGGACGATTCTAATTCTGGGAGAGTGGACACTGAGGGTAGAGGACACAGGTTAAGGGAGTAATCCCTGGGGCCAAATGACACTGCTACTTAGTAGCTGTGAAATCTTGAGCAAATTATTAATATCTTCATTCCTTAATTCTCTCTTCTGTAAAATGGAGGGATTAACAGTGCCTATCACACAGGATTGTGGTAAGAATCAAGTGGTAGGCAGGAAGCTCAGCGAACACTTTCAGGGCACCTTACTAGTAGCAGCAGAAAAGCAAGTAACACATGCCCCGCTGGCGTGGCTCAGTGGTTGAGCGTTGACTTATGAACCGGGAGGTCGTGGTTCAATTCCCAATCAGGGCACTTGCCTGGGGTGCGAGCTCAATCCCCATTGTGGGTTGCACGGGAGGTGGGTGGTCGATGATTCACTCTCATCATTGATGTTTCTATCCCTCTATCCTTCTACCTTCCTCTCTGAAATCAATAGAATATATATCTTAAAAATAATTAAAAAATAAAATATATATTGGCACATATATTAAAAAAAGAAAAAAGAAAAAAAGAGAAGCAAGTAACATAAAACCAGTCTCATAAATGGTTCCTGTCAGTGGAGCCTTCAGAGGAGGCTGGTCTGTCATGTGACCTCCACATGACCTCTGAAATACATATTCTTTCTTGCTTTCGCATACTTAATTTGATGCCTTTGCAAAAATATTTAAGAGCAGACAATTTCTTCCTGTATAAAGTATACATAAGAAAATTTACTATTTAACCATTTTGGGTATATAGTTCATTAAGTGCTTTCATATTGTTGTGCAACCATCACCACCATCCATCTGCAGGAATTGTTCACCATCCCAAACTGAAACTCTGTACCCATTAAACAATAACTCTCCACCCTCCTTCCCTCAGCCCCTGCCAAACGCTATCTTTCTCTATGGATCTGACTATACAGATGACTGTTTTTTTTAAAGCGAGTAAGTCCTGCCCTGGCCGGTGTGGCTCAGTTGGCTGGAGCGCCATCCTGTACACCAAAAGGTTATGAGTTTGATCCCAGGTCGTGGCACATACGGGAGTCAAAGGATCAATGTTTCTCTCTCACATCAATGTTCTGGGGATGTGCCCGCAACCAAGGTACATGCCCCCGACCGGAATTGAACCTGGGACCCTTCAGTCCGCAGGCCGACGCTCTATCCACTGAGCCAAACCGGCTTCGGCAGATGACTGTTTTTTTTAAAGCGAATAAGTCCTGCCCTGTCCCGTGTGGCTCAGTTGGCTGGAGCGCCATCCTGTACACCAAAAGGTTATGAGTTTGATCCCAGGTCGTGGCACATACGGGAGTCAAAGGATCAATGTTTCTCTCTCACATCAATGTTTTTCTCCTTCTCTTTCCTTCTCTCTAAAATAATAATTTTTTTAAAAAAAAACACCCTGAAAATAAAAAACCTAAAAACAACAACATCCTTGGGTGAGGATTTTAAAAAACAAGCTATTAAGTCCTTTCCAAATTTACTTTGTTAACAGCAAGGTCTTAAAAAAACTATCATGGAGCCCTAACCGGTTTGGCTCAATGGATAGAGCGTCAGCCTGCGGATTGAGGGGTCCCAGGTTCGATTCCGGTCAAGGGCATGTACCTGGGTTGCGGGGAGGCGGCTGCAGTGCGGTGTGCAGGAGGCAGCTGGTCGATGTTTCTCTCATTGATGTTTCTAACTCTCTATCCCTCTCCCTTCCTCTCTGTAAAAAATCAATAAAATATATTAAAAATAAAAATAAATTAAAACAATAAAAATCATCATTCTCCCTTAAAAAAAAAACTATCATGGAGGTGAAGAGAAATGAAAAAAGTGATCACAGTAATGATAAAAGCAACAAAAATGGCAAAATTTAACATGAAATAAGCGCCAAGGACATGCCAGGGGCCTTGAGAAGCATCCAGGAAGCATTGTTTCATCAAGGTACCTGCGAAGAACCTACTGCTGCACCAGTGGTGTGACCTGGCTCCAAGCGCGGACCCCTCTGTGCCTATTCTCAGCTGTAAGGAGAGAACGGAACGTTAGGCACAGGATTGTTGTGGGAAATGGATGAGCTAATCCACGCAATGCCCGTGGCACAGTACCTGGCACTGTAGGAAGTTCTCAGTCAGTGACGACGACCACTGTTCTCATTTCACAGATAAGGAAGCTGGGGCGCAGTGAGGTCAAGAGGCCGGTGGGCCCTGAATCCAGATCTCACGTCAGAGCCAGTGTAAGTCCTGCTGGCCGGTGTGGCTCAGTTGGCTGGAGCGCCATCCTGTACACCAAAAGGTTATGAGTTTGATCCCAGGTCGTGGCACATACGGGAGTCAAAGGATCAATGTTTCTCTCTCACATCAATGTTTTTCTCCTTCTCTTTCCTTCTCTCTAAAATAATAATTAAAAAAAAAAAAAAACACCCTGAAAATAAAAAACCTAAAAACAACAACATCCTTGGGTGAGGATTTTAAAAAACAAGCTATTAAGTCCTTTCCAAATTTACTTTGTTAACAGCAAGGTCTTAAAAAAACTATCATGGAGCCCTAACCGGTTTGGCTCAATGGATAGAGCGTCAGCCTGCGGACTCAAGGGTCCTGGGTTCGATTCCGGTCAAGGGCATGTACCTTGGTTGCAGGCACATCCCCAGTAGGGAGTGTGCAGGAGGCAGCTGATCGATGTTTCTCTCTCATCGATGTTTCTAACTCCTTATTCCTCTCCCTTCCTCTCAGTAAAAAATCAATAAAATATATATTTTTAAAAGGGAATTAATTAGTAGACATATTTTAATCTTGCTATTCGCCCTTTTAAAAATAAAAAAAAAACTATCATGGAGGTGAAGAGAAATGAAAAAAGTGATCACAGTAATGATAAAAGCAACAAAAATGGCAAAATTTAACATGAAATAAGCGCCAAGGACATGCCAGGGGCCTTGAGAAGCATCCAGGAAGCATTGTTTCATCAAGGTACCTGCGAAGAACCTACTGCTGCACCAGTGGTGTGACCTGGCTCCAAGCGCGGACCCCTCTGTGCCTATTCTCAGCTGTAAGGAGAGAACGGAACGTTAGGCACAGGATTGTTGTGGGAAATGGATGAGCTAATCCACGCAATGCCCGTGGCACAGTACCTGGCACTGTAGGAAGTTCTCAGTCAGTGACGACGACCACTGTTCTCATTTCACAGATAAGGAAGCTGGGGCGCAGTGAGGTCAAGAGGCCGGTGGGCCCTGAATCCAGATCTCACGTCAGAGCCAGTTTTCTAGATCTTGCCTCTTGGTTGCTCCTAAAGATAAAGATAAGCAGATGGGAGTTTAAGGGCTCACGGGAAGAGACGTGAGGGCTTGAGAGCTTGGGATGAAGGTCAGACAGAAACGGGAGAGGGACCTGAAGCCAAAGAAGCTGCTTGAGGGAGGAGAGAACGGAGTTGTGAAGGGTGTAGGCTCTGGAGTCAGACCACTGGTGTGTGAACACGGGCATCTCCAACTTGCTAGCACTCGGTGCTAGTACAATGCGCTTCAACAGGCAACAGTGACTTACACGTGCCCCTGGAGGCAAATCCTCAGAGTGGAAAGGGAGGCTCCCATCTAGGCCAGGGCTGTCCCAACAGAAATGAAACACAACTACCTGTGTCATTTAAATGTTTAGTAAACATACTGACTTAGGGTGGCGAACACACAGTACCCTACACAGATGATGTACTGTAGAATTGTACACCCGAGACCTGCATGATTTTATTAACCAATGTCACCTCAATGAGTACTAGAGGTAATGGCAATAATAACCACCGCCCTGCAAAACCGCATAGGAAGGTTAGTCAGTCTGAGTGACGACACATAAGACATTTGGAACTGTGTCCGGCAGCTTAAACAGTCAATGGAAGCTACCCACGTGGCTGCTTTACAGGAAGGAGTCAGGGAACCCCTTCCCCGGGTGGCTGCAGCCGCACACACAGCCCGATGAGCAGACACCACTCAGCCCTTCCTCCCGGAGCCCTGCACAGTGAGTGTCCCGCCCAACCTCACCTGGGGCCCTAATACAAGTTCTCCTGTAGCTCTCAGCAAGAATCTGATTCGAGGGGCGTGAGGGTGGAGATTGAGGGTAAAATGCCCAGGTTAAGAGATCATCATTAGTTAATCACTGTTTAAGTATTTATTAGTTAATCATTACTAGCCATCTGACTTCAGACAGCAGAACCCTGGTATGGTAAGGGAAACGTAAACCTTTCCCATCTCGGAAGAAATGCCCTTGGACTTTGTAACCCCCTTTGCTCTGGCCTCTATTTGCCTGGTGACTTCTGCTCAGCAAGAGTGCTTTGCAGGGAGACCTTTCCATTACGTCTTGGGGGAGGGGGGTAATTAGTAGGTCAACCCTCTCCCTTGTGATTGCTTACTCAGCTGTCAGGTCCCCAGCCCCAGAAACAGCACCTGTGAC